TTTCATATTCGATGAGCTTCAGAATACTCTATCAACTCACCAGGGGGAATTAGCTCTTTTTGCTAGGGAAATGCGTCAGGTTTGATCCTTTATCTTACCTTGTGTTTATTGTAATTTTTATTTTGGTTTGGGCAGCCAGTCCTAATTTCATTGATACCTAGTGCGTGTAGTTTTTTAGTTCTTATCCCTAAACACTTAATTTATCCGTAACTTGGTCTTTCAACTTCCTTCATTATAAGTTTTGAAAATCTGCTTACTGGTGTCCAAATGTGTACTTGTTTTTACCTATCCTAGTTGGATCTTTCAATATAACTTTTTCTGTTTCTTATTTCTTGTTACTTTGCTTTCATTTGGGTTGAACAGCGATTCCATGTCAGTTGTGAGCAAAGAAAGGAGGTTTCTGAATACATGAATGGATTTCTTGATAAGATTTTGGAGCAATGCAAAAATCTGGAAAATCATGCTGTGCAAGCTGATGCAGTGCAAATGAAAAATATTGATGATTTTCAGAAGGCTTATGAGGTGCGACATGGTAAAGTAACTAAAGATACGAGTGAAAATGTTGTCTTCTGCCTTGCCAACTGAAAGCTTGATCTGTGCAGGAGCAATCAAAATCAGATGCGGAGAAGCTTGTTGCTGATATCAACCATCTTGTTTCCAGCCACCTTCAGCATCAAAAAGAGCTGGTATTTTCTCTCTCATCTTTAATTTCATACTAGATGTATTGTTCAGATGCTGATGGTTAAGTTAATAGGTGGATGCAAGGCTCGCTGATCTCAGAGAAACTGCCACTGGAAACAAAGCAGTACTGGATGGACATGTTTCTTCGATGGAGTATGTTTCAACAGATGCAAAACGAAAATGGCAGGAATTTTCCATGCAGACAGAGAATGATGCTAAGGATATTGCAGATTATTCAGCTACCAAACATTGTAGAATGGAGTCACTCTTACAGCAATGGTATGTATGGTCTTCTGCTTGTAGTTGGAATCAATATCTTTGATTCTTTGGTTGGAATTGATAAAGTCTGTTCCCTTTTCTTTGCTTTAGTGTAAGCACTGCTGGATCTAAAGTCTGTTCCCTTTTCTTTGCTTTAGTGTAAGCACTGCTGGATCTAAAGTCTGTTCCCTTTTCTTTGCTTTAGTGTAAGCACTGCTGGATCAGCTTTCAAGCACTGGGAGAAGACACTTGACTCTGTGAATGAGATGGGAAACGATCATGTTTCAAAATTGGTATCCCTTACGAGGTAGAAATGCCATAATCTCTCGACATCTTCAATGTTTAGTTGTTCTTGACACATTCACTGTCTCATAGAACCTACATGTGCATCTTTATAAGGATTGTGGTTTTGGCTCTGGTCATAGAATGCATGGGCCAATATATGATTGCAGCTTTGCTCTTGTTGTTCTGTTGTTGCATCTAATTTTCGTAGTTGTGTCATTAAGTCAATTCCTCATCCTGTCTAAATTCATCCCTTTTCCCTTTCAATGCCTTGGTGAAGAAATGCATCTGACAGCATAGAGCAGCATGATGCGGAGGTTGGTTCTGCACGGGTTACAGCTGAGCAAGATGTGGCTAAGAATACCGAAGATGTCCTCAAGCACATTGACAGTAAGTTGTATATCTTTCCTTTTCTTTTTTTTTTTTTTTCCTGGAGTATAATAATCCTAACCTTTCACATGGTTAAGATTTCATTGAAATATTGTATGATAGGTAGTTAAATTGATTAAATATACACTCCTGTGGCAATTCTATGGAGAGTCTTACAGTGATTCTGAATGTGTTATTTTTGTATTTTTTTTTTACGACGACTCTTCCATTAAGTATCTCTGTTCAAGTGTTCAGTATTCCAAATTATCCAGTCTTCTATTCCTTCTGTAAGTGTAGAAGCATGATTTTTGGAAAACCAGAAACGGTTTGGAGAACACTGCGCTAGATGTTTAACGTTGTTAATCTACAAGTTATTTTTCTTTGAAAGGGATTCTGACTTGTTTGAGCTGGCTTTTTAACATACGCATGCAGATTTAGTTACGCATAGTAGTTGAGGATCAGTGCATGTTGACATGCATTCACATCGAGTTTGTTACTTTATGATTAGGGGCGTGAATTTAATATTGATGTGAATCTGTTTACAGGAGTGTCAGAGGTGGAGCAAGGATCTGTATCCAACATCTTGGAAGCTGTTAAAGCTCACTCAAACACACTGGAGACTTTCAGGGAGGATCACTCTGGTGAAGCTGCAGCTATCGATGGTAGAGCAAAGGAAACATTTGAGCAACAATATATGGTAAGTTGGTTTAACACACCTGCGCCCCTTCTCAAGTAGTTGAAGGGGAAATAGATCAACTACAAGTTTTAGTAAATAAATGAGAACTTATTTTGATCTTCTTCAGTCTTGGAGATGCACTATTCACGTCATTAACAATTTAAGTGGATGGTAGTGTGTGATTCTGCTTGCAACTCGTTGAAATTTTTCCAATCAATACTGGAATCGACTGATGTGTTTTGAAATTCTTAAATCACATGCTCTAGGGGGTCTAGTCATGCTCATGCATTTTTCTACAACCGTGTTGAATTACCAAATTGAACCCCATTTAGATGCAAAAATGCATCATTCATGTTATGAGCATACCTGTTGTTTCAGCGTAATATGTTTTACTTGGGCGTAGATAGAAGGATGAAAGTCTTGCTTGCTGAACTCTGTTGCCAGACATGTAATGAAATTAACAAATGCATGAAACTAACATCCGAATGTTTGCATCTGAAAGTTTAGGTGACGAATAACTGATTAACTGTTTGGGTTATTATTCTGTGTCAATTATTTATCCATGGTAGGAGAGAGTATCTACTAATAATTCACAGCTTTTTTTGTTAATGCTTTCGTTTACCAAAATCTAGCGTGGGGTGAATTTATGTCCCTCTACAAAATAAAATTAGTCACTCGCTACGTCTCTTGATCTAACGTGCAGGATTATGAGCCTACAGGCGCAACACCGTCGAGAAGTGAGCCAGATGTTCCTAGCAAGGGGACCATTGAATCACTTCGGGCAATGCCAGTGGAAAATCTTCTCGATGAATTTCGAGAAAATAATACATATGAATCATTTGAGGTCAAAGAACTGAAGCCCTCTCTAATACCACGGTCACCCCTTGTTCAACTGAACCAGCAATAGAGTGGCTGTGTTCCATTTATGTCCCTCCAATGAATGCCGATTTGTATACACATGATCGAAAATTGCAAGGCTGCAGGAGAAGGTGCGGCGGAGGGTGTATTGCTAGTTTCTTGTCTAGATTAAAAAAATCCCTTCTTGGGATTTAGTAATTTGTAGCTTAACAGAATGGATATTGTAAAGTGAGGCATAAAACTACACATTTGGGGTTCAAGTTTTATTTTCACAGTGGTGGTTCTGCTCAGTTCAGTTCTGCTTATGTAAAGTAACGTATTGCATTCTTTGATCATTCAGAGCAGAAATTGAATTTTTGTTGGGTAGGTTTTATGAATCCTTCTGGTTATGAATGCTTTTGGGTCGATGTCTCTTGCTTTTGCTGTTGAATGCATCAAATTTGGCAACCCTTTCTTATTTGCATCAACTAGGTTTTGAGGGTGGGGTATTTAACAGGGCTCCCTCGCCTGTAATCTGAACTTGGGTAAATGAACAGTTAACAATATATTTGTAGCTAACAGGGCTCCCTCGCCTGTAATCTGAACTTTAGGTACATGAACAGTTTAACAATATATTTGTAGCTATCATCAAGTTCTCTCTCTCTCTCTCTCTTTTCTTTTCTATCAACAATTAACTACTGCTTATTCCTCTCTCTCTCTCTCTCTCTCTTTTCTATCAACAATTAACTACTGCTATAGAGATATGTTCAAACTAAAAAACCAAGCCATCCTTTTCTCTAACCATGGAATGCTTCGTTTCTTCTCAGCTTCTACAGCAGCTGCAGCCATCTCAGACACCATACCGCAACCTCAACAATCCACCTTAGATTCCAATGCCCAAATGAAAGACATAATGGATCCTGATTTTTTTATCTCCACACTCTTCAAGTGTAGAAACATATTCCAAATCAAACAAGTTCATGCCCAAGTAACTACCACTGGTATTATTCATGACCTCATTGTTGCTAACAAACTCCTATACATATGCGCAAAACGCAAAGATTTGGTCACTGCTCATCTTTTGTTTAATAAAATGGAAGAGAGAGACCCAGTTTCTTGGAGTGTTATGATTGGTGGGTTTGTAAAAAATGGTGATTATGAACGTTGTTTTCAGACTTTTAGGGAGCTTGTTAGAGCAGGGTCAAAACCAGATAACTTTTCATTACCATTTGTTATAAAGGCTTGTAGGGATACAATGGGGTTGATTATGGGCAGATTGATTCACTCCACGGTTTTGAAAAATGGGTTACATTTAGATAATTTTGTGTGTTCTACTTTAGTGGATATGTATGCAAAATGTGGCATGATTGACAACGCTAAGCAGCTGTTTGATAGAATGCCTAAGAAAGACCTTGTAACTCGGACAGTCATGATTGCTGGGTATGCTGAATGTGGAAAACCAAACGAATCATGGGTTTTGTTTGATCAGATGAGAAGAGATGGTTTTGTGCCCGATAAGGTTGCGATGGTGACTATTGTAAATGCTTGTGCTAAATTAGGTGCTATGAATAAGGCTCGGTTACTTCATGATTATATATGTGCTAGGAGATATTCTTTGGATGTTGAATTGGGGACTTCGATGATTGATATGTATGCTAAGTGCGGAAGTATTGATTCCTCTAGGGAAATTTTCGATAAGATGGAACAGAAGAATGTGATTTCGTGGAGCGCGATGATTGGGGCTTATGGGTACCATGGACAAGGCAGGGAAGCTCTTGATTTGTTTCATATGATGTTGAAAAGTGGAATAATACCTAATAGGATCACGTTCATTTCTTTGTTGTACGCTTGCAGTCATGCAGGTTTGGTCGATGATGCTCTTCAGCTTTTCTCTTTGATGTCAGTTAGTTATGGTGTGAGGCCTGATGTGAAGCACTACGCTTGCATGGTTGATCTCTTGGGGCGTGCTGGGAGGCTAGATCAGGCATTGAGATTGATTGAGAATATGGAGGTTGAGAAAGATGAGGGGATATGGTGTGCTTTCCTTGGAGCATGTAGAATTCATAGACAGGTAGACTTGGCAGAGAAGGCAGCAAAATTGCTTCTCTCGCTACAAACTCAGAACCCGGGGCACTACATATTGCTTTCAAATATTTATGCAAACGCTGGCAGGTGGAAAGATGTGGCAAAGATTAGGAATCTGATGACCAAAAGGAGGTTAAAGAAAATTCCTGGTTATACTTGGATTGAGGTGGATAACATTATTTATCAATTTGGTGCTGGAGATAATAGTCATCTTCGATCAAAGGAGATCTATGAGATGCTGAAGAGTTTGAGTCAGAAATTGGAATCGGCTGGTTATGTCCCTGACACAAACTCTGTGTTACATGATATTGATGAGGAGGTTAAGCTTGGAATTTTGAATGCACATAGTGAGAAGTTGGCAATTGCATTTGGCCTTATTGCCACCCCCGACGGAACTCCTATCAGGATTACAAAGAATCTGAGGGTTTGTGGTGATTGTCACTCATTTTGTAAGCTGGTGTCAGCAATCACAGAGAGGGATATCACTGTACGCGATGCCAACCGATTCCACCACTTTAAGGAAGGGATTTGTTCTTGTGGAGACTATTGGTAATTGGTTCAGGGACATAGGCTTTTCTATTTTCCCTCTCTAAGCTATTTTCCTTCTGCTGTGATTTTCAATTTGCGAAGAGGGAGAAAAAAGAGCTCTGTATTTTTTGAGCTGACATTTTTGCAGCAGCTAGTGTTCATTTGAATTGCAAAGTGATTCCAAACAAGAATACACTGCATGTCGTGCCTTCGGCAGAATTGCAAAGTGATTCCAAACAAGAATACACAGCATGTCGTGCCTTCGGCAGAGGCAGTGATGGTACAGAACTGGTAATTGCATGCTTTGTGGTGCCATCATTGGTATCTAACATTAATATGGCTATGGTAAACAAGATCAAAACTATACATGCGCCGTCATAGGGTTAAAAATCTGAGCTAGCTACGTTAATGGAATGGTTTCCTTGAACATTAAGAATTTGATGGATCCACGATCAGTTATTGCAACCAGAGGCTTCGTTTCTGAGTTTTCTTATTTTGGGCCACCTTGAATTTGTGAAGATATAAAATCGTGTCTGGATTTCCCAAAATTTGTGAATTGCCACCGTTATCCACCGTTAATTTATTGTTAATTGTGTAACTCAATTTTTGGTTATTTTTCAAAATTCATTTCTTTTCAAAATAAAATAAAATAAAAGCTGACAATACGAAGAAAGCCAACCAGGAAATACAACTGTAATTTTAGAAAAAAATCAAAATCTAATTATATCTTATTATACCCAAAAATAAAAAAACAATGCAAATTCAAAGTCAGATTAAATGATTATTAGACGAATTTGTATAAAAATTAAGTCCAAGAACATAATTAAATTTTCAATAGGCCAATTTGATTTCATCATGGGTCAAATTGGATTTTAATTATGTTTAAGAATTAATTTGGATTCAATTGAAAAATTTACTTAAGTGCAAGGACTTAATTATATTTTAAATGGGTCAAATTAATTTTATTTGAAGCTTAATTGGTAAAAACAATTAAGTTTAGGGGTCCAATTTGGGCTTAATTAAAAAGATTGGAATTTTAAGAGACCAAATTTAATTTTTACCAAGTTAATTGATTGAAATCAGGGGTAAAATCATAATAAGATTAAAATTTTGGGGTCAATTAGGGGTCAAATTGAAGAAATTCATAGCCAAGGACTAATACGAAAAAGGCGTTGAACTATAGGAATTTAATTGATTGAAACTGGGGTGAAATTGAAGAAATTGAAAATTTAATGATTAATGGAGGGTCAAATTATATAAATTCAAAACTAAGAATCGAAGAGGAAAAAGAGCGTAAATCTGGGGCTTAAATTGAAGTTTCTTCAAGGGTCCAATTTTGATTAGATAAATCAGAAAGAAAAGGACTAAATCAAACTTTGCTAAAACAACGTTGTTTTGGTTACTGTTCATCTTCTCCTTTAATTTTATTTGAAATGACAACTTAGGGAGGCTACTTTGCAGGTGCATTTAACACATCTACTGTCCATCAAAATTGACTAAACTTGCATGCAATTGATCACCTGACATTTCTTTACAACCACATATGGCCTGTTCAGGCTGAATGACAAAGAAATGGCCCTGACGATGGTCTAAAGAGGCTAAATCAGGTATTTTTGTTGTAGATTTGACACCTCACGATGTACATTTTGAACCAACGGTTATGATCCTTCCCAGCCGAGCCAAAGGCCAAGATTTGACACTAGTAAGGGAAAAAAATCACTCATCCACCTCTTATAAATATATCTCGATTTTATGGCAGAGGATGAAGAAAATAGAGTCTAAAGTTGATAAAAACCCAGTCACCCTTCCTATTTTTCTTTTTTAGCTGTGTTTTCAGCTACCACTATTCTCACCATCATATTTACCACCATATGTAGACGCCCAATCACCTTATTTGATGGTTACACTACCTCTCTCTCTCTCTCTCTCTCTCTCTCTCTCCCCATTGCAAAACTCTTCTTCTCTGCTACCGAAACCCTAGTAACAGTTGTAGCAATGACCACCTCGTCTAGCGACTTTCATCCTTCCCAACAATAGTAGGGGCGTCGAATCTCCCCTCAGCCACTCTAACAACTCCAATTATGAGCAACTCCATCATGAACCACGATAGTAGCAACTCCAGCAACATGAGAAGCAATAACTCTAGTGGCCAAACTCTCCATTAACACCGCTACTAGACCTTTATGGTTAGACCGCCACTGCACTAGATAGCTTTCTCCTTTGTCCTTTCTTCTTCTTCTCCACTATCTCTGTTAACAGTGTGAATAGTAGACATGAATTATAATTCACGTCCACTGTTCATGTAGTGAATGTTAGGCTAGACCAGTTTCGAACCAACCCAACTGAAAGGGTCAGACTTGACCCAACCTAAAAAAAGGAAAAAAAATCTATTGGATCAAGATAAATTGATCCATTTTGGGCTGATATTAGCCTAGCCCAACTTCCTTAGGATCGGCCTAGTTAGCTGGTCCAACCCATCCGACATATTTAATAATATTTAACTAATATAAATTAATATTATATATTTCTTTAAAAAACAAAAAAATTCAAAAAAATTTCAAAAATCCTTTTAGAAAATCTGTGATTTTCCCTCATGTTTTTTTTACTAATTTTGTTTAATATTAGGTCGTATATTTACACTATAAGATATAGATCTGGTATTAAAATACTCGGTTTTCTCTGAAACTTTTCTAAAAAAATTCAAGAAAAAAAATTAAATATTTAAAATTAATTTTCCCTTTCAAAAAACAAAAAAATATGTTTAGTTTTCACGCATACAAAAAAT